CGAGTGTGTGTGTGTGTGTGTGTGTGTGTTTCGGGGGGGTGCTGATGACCCGCAGCATCGCAACCCTAATTCCGGCCCGGGGAGGCTACGGCGGGTGGGGAGGAGGAGGAGAAGGATGCTGGCCAATGATTTTAAAGAGGTATTGCTGACCTGCATTTGTCGGAGCCTTGCTTATCAAAAAGCACAGAGCGAGTCTGGTAAACTGAGTAAAGTCACAGGCTGAGGGGGAAGTGGTGGGGAAAGCCCAGAGACAGTGATTTTATTTTACTGACTATTTCCCCCTAAAGCAGGGACTTTTGATGGATTTCCTGGGGCTGCTGCTCCGTGGGTTTGGACAAAACAGGGCGGGGACGAATCTGCGGCTCTAGTTATAACGTTTCCCCCAAGTTAGTGGCTCCAAGATCTGCTGGGAATTGCTGCTGGAATGACGCGATCTCTTACCTGTCCTTCAGTTCCGCTTAAAAGATGTGTCTCATGCCTTTTATTACTAATATCCCTCCGAGAAAAACACCCCCGACTGCCACGGCCAATGGTGCTCCAGCCACTGCTACTCCTGCAGCTCCCCATGAAGTTGTTCCTATCGCCGCTCCGGTCGCTACCTTGAATAATCCTTTTATTATTTGTCTTTTTCTTTTCAATCCATGATGGGTCGCTGCCAGGCCTGGAATAAATAATAAGATTTTAACGAGGCCACAAGCCACATGCGGCCGCTATCTTGGTTACCGGCCATGCTTCAGATAGCCTGCTCAATTGTCAAACCTCCAACATGAAGCAGAAGAACTCAAGGGACCTTGTTCTCATTTCTCCGCAGGCCTGTTGGGGGGTCCTGCTCTGGGCCGTGTTAGCGTCTGATCATAAACATTCACCCTTTTAGTCCTTTCTCTCTGAATATTTGATTCATTTATATATCAGCTATTCCTTGGACACTTTATGATATTAACAAAGAGTATGCCTGAATTCTAAGGCCCAGAACACTGCTCCGCGGCTGATATGTGACCCTATTCGGTAGGGGCGCCAGTTTTGGTTGGCTGCATTCCTGGAGGCTTCCTCACTTGACATCATCTCTAATTAAAGATTCATATTTAATTCCTGGGGACTCCAGGACAATCCTGGAGAGTTGGCCACCCTATTATTCAGGAACTGTATGTGTTAGGGTGTGTCTAACAATTTGGGATGCCTTCCTGTCTATAAAACTGCAGATATCCTTGAAAAGCATCTCCTTAACTTATATCATATATAGACTTGGAGACCTAATAAGGGATTGTGGAAATTATTACTAATATATGAAGTTATTAATATTAATATGGGAAATTACCAAACACCAACTTGAACCATCAATGCCTTTATTAAATCCAAAGGCCAAATGGTATTTATATAGTTGCTCTAATAGGCAATTTGCTACAGCCAAACAGTAACAAAACATATATAAGCATTTGATCAAGCTACTTACAAACTGGCTACATCCAGGGGCGCCCAGACCCATACTGGTTGGCTCCAACATGATCAGGCAGCTATTAGCAACGAACGTTTTAAGAGTTTACTTTTTATACCCTTTAAGAAACACGTGATGTCATCGCCAATTACTGACTTCAGCTAAAAAAGCAATTTGACACAATTCACCCTTATTTCCAGTCGCAGACCTGATAAGATTTATAGCTAAGGGCTTGCTTCATTGGTGATATTGCAGAAATTGCAAATCCCACAATAATAGGCTTCCACTGCAATTTGGGTGCTGAATTCAGGTGTACGTATGTTACATTTTAACAGTCAGCCCCACTGTCAGTCCCGGGTGGTGGGACTCCCGCTGTCAGTCCCTGGCAGCCGGCTTTTCCAAATTGCCACAATTAATAAAGGTCGACTGTTACTTTTCCATGTCTTGTCCACAACTCAGCCGCAATTATTTGACAATCGTCCCGTGATTCAAGTGGGGCCTTACTTATAACCTCTTTTCTTCCCAAGCCTTTCCTTTCTTATCTTTTCCCCACACTCCTTGCTTACCAGGAGAACAGTGAGAAGGTTTGAGCTTGTTTCTTTTAAGACACTTTTTCTTTGTCTTGTTATTGCATAAGAACGGCCAAACTGGGTCAGAGCAAAGGTCCATCTAGCCCAGTGTCCTGTCTGCCGACAGCGGCCAATGCCGGGTGCCCCAGAGGGAATGAACAGATCAGGGAATCATCGAGTGATCCATCCCCTGTCGCCTGTTGCGAAGGCCAAGACTATAACAGGGTTAAAAAACGAGCTAGATAAATTCATGGAGGATCGGTCCATCAATTAGCCAGGGTGGGCAGGGACTTTTGCTTGCTGACTGGGACCTTCTTTACTACATATATATGTCCTTGACCAATCTTGAGTTAACTGTAATTTTTTAATTTTAAATCTTATCCTACAATTGTTACAGCCGAAGTTTTCTGTCGGGGAATCAACAGGGAAGAATGATAATGGGTTAGGAAGGACCTACCGAGAGATATTATCTTGAAGAATTGTTAGTTCTCTCAGTGATACATAACAATGGCTTCCCACGTAAATCAGGTAAATGGCGAATGTACAGAAATGGCATCAGAACATATGTCTCTGGCAAAGAGAATTTCTTTGTCTAATACCGTATATAACAACACTGGTATGGGAACTTAAGTGGAGAATAAAACAGTGCATCCCTTCAGATACAGGGAAGGAGAGACACAGAGCCAGTTTGTTCTCACATCAAAGAGAGGCGATGTCTGTATGCTTTTTGTAGTCTGTCTAGTGCCGCGCTAATCACTTCATTGATAATCTTTGATTAAATAATTCCAATTGAACCTGTTATGCTACGATCCTGAGTCGTCATTAACTCAGATATGCTACAGCCAACAGCTCGCTTTCATAGAGTCCTAGATTCCCAAGCCAGACGGGCCCCTTGTGATCATCTAGTAGTCCAATTGTCAATTCCAGGCCGGTGAGCCTGACTTCAGTACCCGGCACATTGGTTGAAACTATAGTAAAGAACAGATTTATCAGCCAGAGATGAACATGATTTGTTGGGGAAGTGTCAGCATGGCTTTTGTAAAGGGAAATCGCGCCTCGCCAATCTACTAGAATTCTTTGAGGAGGTCAACAAGCATGTGGACAAGGGGGATCCAGTGGATATGGTGTACTTGGAATTTCAGAAAGTCTTTGACAAGGTCTCTCACCAAAGGCTCTTATGCAAAGTGAGCTGTCACGGGATAAGAGGGAAGGTTCTCTCATGGATCGGTAACTGGTTAAAAGACAGGAAACAAAGGGAAGGAATAAATGATCAGTTTTCAGAATAGAAAGAGGTAAATAGTGTGTCCCCCAGGGGTCTGTACTGGGACCAGTGCTGTTCAACATACTCATAAATGAATAGGAAAAACAGGTGACCAGTGCAGGGGGCAAAGTTTGCAGATGATACAAAACTACTCAAGATAGTTTAGTCCAAAGCAGACTGTGAAGAGTTACAAAGGGATCTCACCAAACTGGGTGACTGGGCAACAAAATGGCAGATGAAATTCAATGTTGATAAATGAAAGTGATGCACATTGGAAAACAGAATCCCAACTATATGTATACAGTGATGGGGTCTGAATTAGCTGTTACCACTCAAGAAAGATCGTGGAGTCACTGTGGAGAGTTCTGTGAAAACATCCACTCAATGCGCAGTGGCTGTGACGCTGGCAAAGCAAGTCAGTCCAGGGTCACTTGTATTAGTGTAGATCAAAGCGCTTGTTAATGTACAAGTTTGTATTCGGATGTTTAAACTTCATGCAAACTAATGGGTCGTTACTTGTATAATCTATTCCTGTTATAATGTAACAGCAAACATTTACATTTGTGTATAACCCTGTAACTGAATTACCCATCAAGAAAATCTTGGGAAATGCTAATGAAAGATTTAAGGACTTTACAGAAAAGTGGTCAGCGTGTTGATGATCAAGGTCAAGGACTCTACGTGCTTTCCTCACTATCTGCCATTAAAGAAAAAAGCCCACATGAGTACAGACACTGTCAGCTAACGCTCTGTGTGAAGAACCTATATATATAGATTCTAGGAATGATCCCGCGTCTCTGACTGTTTGGACGCTTACAGAGAAGTACAGATGCAAAGCGGAGATCCCCAGAAATGGTCTGGGTACCCTAAAGAGACTTTTGGGAAACTGGCAGTTTATTGTATCACGATCACCACTTGGAATTACAGACTGCGAGTCACCTGTCTGTGACTCCGTGGATAAGACTGGTATAGTGCTCCAGGAGTGCACATGTGTTACTGGGAAGGGATACATAATAAGACAGTAAATACCATAACACCACTGTATAAATCCATGGTACTCCCACATCTGGAATATTGCGTGCAGATGTGGTCGCCCCATCTCAAACAAGATAGATTGGACTTGGAAAACGTTCAGAAAAGGGCAAGAAAAATTATTAGGGGCATAGAACGGCGGCCATATGAGGAGAGATTAATAAGAATGGGACTTTTCAGCTCGGGAAAAAGATGATTCGGGGGGATATGAGAGAGGTCTATAAAATCATATAAAATCGGTGTGGAGAAAGTAAATCAGGAAGTGTTGTTTACTCCTCATAACACAAGAACTAAGGGTCACCCGATGAACTTTGTGGGCAGTCGTAGTGCTCGGTAAGTTTTGTTTTGCCTCCGAGCACAGCCCAGGGGAGGTGAGCAACGGGCGGTCTACAACACGTACCAAGTTCTGGAACTTCCCCCAAAGGTGCGGCTTCCTCAAGAAGCCGCCTAAGGTGTCTCCGGCTGGGTAACAGCCACACTGCAACGCTGCACAGGGAATGGGAGGGCTCGCCCGGCGCTGAGATGCAGCCACCTCTGGGTGGGGCAGCTAGGGAACAACCGCATGTACTGCCGAACAGGGCTGGTTTGCCCAGAGCTGAGATGCAGCCAGCTCTGGGGTGGGCAGCTGGAGAACGGCCACACAGTGATGCCGTACAAAAGCGTAGTGCAAAAATGAAAAAACACCCTCGCTGGTTTCCATCCCAAGGAGAGTCTGTGGTGGCAGACCCATTTCACCTAAATTGGGATTGGGTCAAAGCTCTGCCATGCACACCCTGGTCTTTGGAGAAAGGGGATGGGGAATGTCACTGAGCCCAACTGAGAGGGACCCTTGCTCCACATCACACCCAAACCACGGGCGCCGACTTCCCCTCTAGCCGGTGGGTGCTCAACCCCCCTCCACTCCAGGCCCGGGCCCGACCCCCACTCCATCCCTTCCCCCAAGCCCCTGCCCTGCCCCTTCCCCCAACTACGCCCCATCCCTGCTTCTCCCTCTCCCTCCTGAAGCCTTCTGCATTCTACAAAACAGCTGTTCGCGGTGGGCGGGAGGGGCCAGGAGGGAGCTGATCAGTGGGTCTGCCAGCGGGCAAGAGCTGCTAGGGGGAGGGGGGATCTGGCTGCCTGTGGGTGCCAAGCACCCACTAATTTTTCTCAGTGGGTGCTCCAGCCCCAGAGCACCCACGGAGTCGGTGCCTATGACCCAAACATGGGAGTAGATTTGAAACCACACCCTTGGAATGGGCGGGATCAAACCGGGGACCTCTGGCGCTAGCTGTCTGAGCCTCTGCTGTGTGAGCGAAAAGTCACGTGGCTCTTAGCCACGGCTGTAGCAGACTCATTAACCTCCACGTGGTCCCAGTGCCACTAGACGGGGACAGAGCACCCCACCCAGGGGGTATGTGGGTTACAATGGCACCTGCTGTTGACCTGTCTAGGGAGAGATGCGATTGGTGGCTGGGATATCTCGGCCCGTTGGGCCAGGATGTGGCTCCTGCAAGCATGAGATAAACACGGGTTTTGGAATTTACCCTTTGTAGATAAGTGTGGAAGCAGTTTTGGGTAAGGGGGAGCAGCGTGTTTTGTCAAGGCCGGGGTGGTTTGATGGCCTGGAGACTCAGTGTGACTAATTTAAGAACATGAGGCTGTCCGGCCTCGGTCAGGCCATGGGCGATCTCGGCCAGTATCCTGTCTTCCAACAGTGGCCTGCCCCAGAGCTTCATGGGGCATGCACAGACCAGGGCAATTTCAGAGACATCCACCTTTGTCTTCACGCCCGGCTTTGGGCACTCAGAGGTTGGGGTCTCCTCAAGCACGGGGCTAGGGTGACCTGGTCGAAAAGGGATCCT